CTTTATGGAGAGAGAGCGAGAAAAGGTCGTATCGTAGGTTGTAGGATCAGCGCACTGACTGAATAAAAGAGTTATTCCCGCCCACGTTGACATTTGCACGCCGTCGCATGAATCGACAGGGCAACGGCCTTAAGATATCATTGTCAAACTGCTACATAGTTCAAAAACCTTGATTCGATTGATCTGGATTCGACTTTGGGTCTGTTTCAACAGTGCATGAGTGTACCGAGCCAGCCCTTCTACTGCAGGAGCGATTTGGAAAACTTCAAGGCCTAAAGACGGCCAGTTTCCAAAATGCAGAGCCGAAATAGGGGTTCCCCACATTATTATCAAATGTGCAAAACGAGTGTATCTTTTGCCAGAACTTGAAAAGATACACATGCCTTACTCGTCTTTTTCATGTTCCAGAGCGGTGCAGCCACGTGCATTCAACAGAAGGCCAAAAGAAATTTGTCGGTCCGCTATCCAAAGGCTCACAGGAAGCCCCGACAGTGGGATCGGTGGATGGGAGAGAGAGGCGCAGAAGGCCGGCAGAGGGCACGTTTCACTTTGAATGCGAAAATCAAATCCGCGCGGTAGACCGACCTCATCGGACGCACCGAAATGACGGTCAAAAGGAGCCTGTCCGCATGCAGCGTCTCAAAAAACGGCTCCAGCATCCGACGAACTTTAGAGGACTGTAGGACATCTGAGGGTGTAAAGTCCATCAAATAAAGGAAAGACACAAGCACCCTCAAGACCAATAAAACCCTCACCTATGCCCTCTGAACCTGGACATTTGTATCCCTAGACGGTCGGGGGAGTGTGCTAAACCCCAACTTTGGCAATTTTTTATTCTGAATGTGTATTAGGTCAACTAACGGAGTCTCGGTTGATGTGCTTTCCTTTAGCTACTTAGATGTTTCAGTTCGCTAAGTCAACTTCGTTGCGGTTTCCCGATAGGAAATCCATGGATCAAAGAGAGCTTCTCCCCATGGCGTTTCGCCTTTCATTGCGTCCTTTCTTTCTCAATGCCAAGGCATCCACCCAATGCATTATTTTGGATATAGCAGGGCCCTTCGCTACTTCTCACTTTTGTTTTATATCATATCATAGAAAAAAGAAACAGACTGGTTTATGGCACAAAAAAGTGCGCCAAACCAGATGAAGTCACTGTCACCCAAGCAGGAGTGGTGTTTCACGCTGGGCAGGCCATGGTTTTTTTTTTTGGTTGTTGTTGTTGTCCCCACCCGAACGGGTGGGTAATTGGTACATATCATGCCTGACATTCAATTCAAAATGAAAGCTATGCACAATGATTTTTGACAAGTTTTGCTTGTTGAATAGGCTCTGTGTGACTGGTGCTTCAAGAGCGGGGCATGCGGCCTGCGGGTATAACCTAGCCTGAGCTAGCGAGGGGAAAGAGAGAGAGAGGGAGTATATCCATTGTTGTTTGTTGCTGGGCTGTAGCCATAGGGGCCGATTTACATACGTGCATCCTGTTGTATAAGATTTCAATTCCAGACATCTTCAGAGTTTCTCATTTCTTGGGTGTTGGTTTAATCATGTGTGAGCTTGCTGCAAGTTTGTGTGACGTGGATGCTGGACATATCATCCATTCCTAGGTTTGGCAGCACTGGTGATACATTCATAGGTTTGGCAGCACTGGTGATACATTCATTTGTCATTAAGGCCTGGCTGCACCGGTGGTTTAGCTTCAAAATCATACTGGGTTTGGCAAAACGGACCTGCCAATCATAAGTTTGGGGCCAGCATGCCTCCACTTTTGACAGAAAAAAACTAGGCCTTGATTATTTGCTTCCATGCCCTTATCTGCAGACCCCAAACTTTCCAGTGCGCACATTCTGCTTTTGATTTATGCGAGTAATCCTTGTGCAGGGTCCATACTAATCTTCCCTGTATAACTGTGACTTCTGCTGTTGCTTATGCAAGAGTGCTGCAGCCAACCGTGAAATCAAATGACTGAGTTCTGTCATTTCCACGGTTTCCGCCACTATAAGAGAAGTCCTTCCCTCTTCATTCTTTGTGCAGCTACAAAAATTCAGTTCTGCAATTCGGCAATACTCAAATCGTTGAGACCCAGTGGCTGATATTCAGGCAGATTGATTTCCCTGTCTTTCCCAGGTTGGCCAGTTCAAGACAATCCATGTTCGAAACAGTTCAACAGAATCAACACTTCCATTTTTTTCCCGACTTTATCCATGGACTCCATACCTTCGCAAAATCTCTGTCAGAGGAGCTGAAGTCACTATGCCTTCCAGCTGCATCACCAACGAAGAATGATCTGGAAAATATAGAGCAACAGCCAGGAATGACTAAGTGCGGCCCATTTGAACAGAGATGATAGAATCTCCGCCAGCATACAGATGCACCCGTGTGCACCCCAGAGTTCACTTTTCCGGACAGGAGATGGCCCTTAACATTACTGTCCCCAACTCTAACTGTTATGGACAGTTACATGGGTGACACCATTCAACCTGATTTTGCTGTCCCCTTTGCGTCCTCATTAAATGCAACTGATGACAGCCAAATGAAATCCATAGCAGCAACAAGACACAAATGGATGAGCAAGACAAATGCAAATGACCTGACCATTGGAGCATCCTGCAGCTTACCATGAAGGCCAAACAAGATAGAAAGCAGGGGGCACACAATGGAGGTGCTGCAGGTCAACCATCTCTCTACCGAACTCCATCATAACAGCAGCCTTTCCTTTCTCTTGGGCCACAACAGCTTCCTTGGGTGCAGTCAAATTCAGAATCTGACACTACTAAATTATATTTGCCCAAACTGTGGTCCCGGCTCGTTTGAACCGAGTGGAGCCAAAGGTGCAATGGGAAGCAGGGACTTTATTTCATTTTGGGTAGATAATCGGTTGTATTTTATTTAATTTATTGATTTTTCTATTTATTCATCTCAAAAGAGACATGCAATAACCCGCTCCAATATTCCTCTTGTTGTCTAAGAGGCCACACGCAGGCCCCAACGCCGGCCTAAGGCCGAGTTAGCTGAGGGGTACAGCACCCCTGAAATTGTCTTCAAAGGCCCTGCGCCCGTCAGTTGACTAAAGTCAACTCTACGGCGGCCACGAGTCAAAGTCTACATGGTTCCAGCCCAGGCCGCCGATCAGACACACACAGTTGTTTGTACGCCGGTATCCAGACAGCATTCGGACAAAGAGGAAGTCTGCAACTGGTACGAGATCCAGGCCGTCGGCTGCAATTCAATCTGAGCCTCTGTTGGTGTGCACATTGCAGGTGTGAGACCAGAGGCAGGTCAACTTCATCAACACTACTTGTTGACCCTGCCTCCGGGAGTCAACATTCAGTCTTGCCTTGCTGACTTGACGCTGGCTAAGACGCTGGTGCAACGCTGGCTTGACGCTGGCTGGACGCTGGCACTGTGCGACGATGACGCGAGACTGCTGCATTCGCGTGCTGGCGCCTCTCTGCTCTGGCACCAGGTGTCTTTTGGATTGCTGATGTGGCACATGCCATGCTGTCGACATTGCCGAACAGTTGGTGCTTGAACTGGGCATGTAACAGTTGGTATCAGAACACCGCACGTGAATCAGGACAACCTGATCTGACACGTGTGCTGGGACTAGGTAGCTGATTAGTCTTGAGTCTTGACTAATTGATTAGAGCACATTAGTTAGCCCCCAAAATCAAGATTTTGACCTCACTGCCGAAAATCATTTTTTTTCTTCTTTTCTTGGATTTTGTTTTCTCGCTATTTCTGTTGTGGAAAATCGCAATAGCGCAACATCTGAAATTTCTGTTTTCGTTTTTCTTCTGAAAATTCAAAATTCCGTTGTTAAAAATCCGGAATATCTTTCTTTTCGAAAATTTCGATTTCCTTTTGCAATTTCCCGTTATTTGGAAAATCGGAAAATCCGGAATATTTTTTTCCGAAATTCGTTTTTTTTTAAACGGTACGGGAAATCCCTCTTGCAGTTATCACTCTCCGACTGCGCTTACTCTCATCTGAGTAATTCCGAATATTTGCTGTATTTTATTTTTTCGGAATTCTTATTGGACAATCATTTGCACTCTGAACGTTCGAAATTTTTCCTCAGGGTAATTTCGCACTTCAGGGAGAATTGGGAGGCCTACTGAACGTGCAAACGAGTATCTTTTTTCTTTTTCTCGATTTTTTGTGCAAGTTCAAACTTTTCTTTTTTTTATTAGTGGCTCCTTATCTGGGCGATTTATCCCACCCACCCCTCCCCACCTATGTTGTTGCCCCCTCTGGTCTTACCTTCTCTTTCTGTCTCCCGGTACCCCCTGCGGCGGCATTGGTGAGTTGCCACGCCAGCAGGCCACGCCAGCAGACCACATCAGTAGGCCACGTCAGCAGACCACGTCAGCAGGCCACATCAGCAGACCACATCAGCAGGCCACGTCAGCAGGCAGCAGTGCCACGTCAGCAGCAGGGAGTACCACGGCAGCAGGTCCCCGGCCTGGTCTATGCTCTTGCGCTCGCAAACAGCCGTCATGGACCAGAAGTCCAGGGAAACGGACGAGGCCTCTCAGGCCCGGATGCTGCTTCTGATTACCGAAGCCAAGCAACGGTCGGATGCAGTAGCGGCCGCAGCAAAGAAGAAGGCAGAGGACGCCGAGAAGGCACGTCTGGTCGCAATCGAACAGCAGCGCCAGCAAGACAAGGCAGCAGCAAAGGCTGCCGATGAAGAACGAGTTCAACGACGCGAAAAGATATTCAGCGGAGAGCGAGCTTTGCTCACAATGGCAGCGGATTGGCGGCCCGAGGCCGAGAATGGTAAGATGGAAGAGAGTGAAAACAAGACCGCTCTACTCCTCTCCCATCTCACGGATCTCCTGGCAACATGCATTACACAGCAGGAGGACATCCACAGCATCGACGACACGTTGTCTCAAGTCCACCGCCGCCTCCACCAGCTGGAGCAGCGACCCATCGCCGCCTCCACCAGCTGGAGCAGCGACCCATCGCCGCCCCCGATGCCAGCTCTTCCAACATCTCTGATCGCCTCGAGGCATTAGAGATTGACGTCGGATCCCTCAAGGACGGCGTGCAGTTACAGCAAACCGCAACGCAACAGTTGGAGCAGCGGATCTGTACTGTCGCCGCCCACTTGAGCTCGGAATCGCGCGAGACAACTCCAAGGTTCAATGATCAGGAGATCTTCTGGGACTCGACAAAGACGGACCTTATTCCATGGTTCCGCAAGTTCGAGCTCAAGTTGCAGCTCCACCACGTCAGCGAACACAAGCACCACGCGTACTTATACTCCGGGTCGGGGGGTGCGTGCCAAGCATGGTTGGACAATCTTGTCCACGTACGGAGTGGTGGCTGCCGACTTGCATACCAAGATCAGATGGGATAATCTAAAGGCGGTGTGGCATAAGCGGTTCCAAGTAGAGCCGTCGGAGGTCAAGGCAATGGACAAGCTGATGGCCTTCGAACAAGGCACGCTGCCGAGTGTTGATTGGATTGCTGAGTACCAATGCTTGACATCCGTCCCAGACCTTCAAATGGGCTTCAAGGCCGTCAAACACTACTTTATCTCGAGGTCGTGTCCAGCGTTGGGCAATGCCTTGATTCACGTCGAGAACACCCTGACGACAACGGCGGAGCTCTTCGACAAGGTCGCACAAATTGTCACGAACAAGGAGGCCAAGAACCTCCACCGTTCGTTTGCGACAGGCCTAAGCAGAGATCAGCATCGACCGAAAGTAGTCGTGGTCGTGGCGGCAACGCCAAACGACCAAACTAGCAAGGCCGCATCTGCCAATGAAGGGGACAGACTCGCAGCCAACAAGGAAGGTGGCCGCCCCGACAGAGGCCGAGGACGCGGCAAGACGAAGACAAACACTGCATCTAGCCCCGGACCCAGTGCAGCAGCTCCAGCCCCATGGTCCCATTACGGTCTCTCTGAACAGGCGTACAAGGCACGCACGAGATTCCGCTATTGTCTGTGGTGTAACAGCAATCTCCACGACACAATGGGCTGCCCGTCGAAAGGCAAAGGCAAATCGGGAAACTGAGCACCGCCGGGAGTGACTCGACCACACTCTCGATGCCTTCGGAACTGGTCGCTTCGCGGGTGACCGCCCTTTGTTCTGAGGCACATGCAGAAGTCGATAGTCCTCCTCTTCTATATTCTTATGAGGACTATGCTGCCCGGCTCGCTCCTACGCTGGGTACTCATGCTCAAGGACAAGACGTGTGTGCGGCATCTTCTCTGTCCGACACCGGTGAGTTATCGTCTTAAAGTGGTTCTTCACGGGATTCGGCGCGCGAGTTCAACATAGAGGTATTGGACCCGCTCACGTCCGAGGATTTCACATGGCTTCCTCTCCCGACCA